AAGGAGGCAGGAAAATAATGTATCTGACCTCCAGGCTTGCTGCGAGAGTTAGAGCTGATGTGTGCAAGCGCCTGCTGGGGTGCAGAGCAAACGCTCAGGAAAGTGTACACCCTGCTGGTTTCTTCCCTGCCCCCCCCCCCATATCCTTCAGCATCTTCTTGTGATTTGTGTTCATTCCTAGTTCAGGGTCTGTGTGGACTGAATTGAGTGCACCCCAAAGTCATGGTGAAGCCTTAACTCCCAATGTGTATCTGGGGAGAATGCCTTCAGGGAGGAGATTTAGGGTCGAGGAAGCCATAGGGCAGGGCTCTACTCAGGCAGGGATGCTGTGCCTATGAGAGGAGAGAGAAGAGATGCCAGGTGCTCCCTCTCTCCCTCCCTGCCCCTCCTTCCCTTCTACCCTGTCCCTCTCCTCCTCTCTCCCCCACTCCCCTCTCCTTCCCCCACCTTTTTCTTGCCACTCTCCCCTCCCTTTCTGTTCTTTTATCCACCACCCCCCCACCCCGGGGTAAAGAAGAGGCCACGTGGGGACACAGCAGAAGGCGACTGTCTATAACCGGGAAGAAAGGCTTTGCCAGGACCTGCATCTTGGGCACGTCACCTCCAGGACTGTGAGAAAAGAAATCTCTGTCTTCACGCCACCCAGCCTGTGGCACTTTGCTATGGCCGCCCCAGGGGGCAAACACAGAATCCGAGGACGTGGCTATGTGGCCGACTTTCCACTATCCACACAGACACTGTCACTGCTAGTCCTACCAGGTGGTTGCCTTTCTCAGCTTGGGTTTTTTTACCCAGCCATCGCTGGGTGAAGATTTAGAAAGTTCCAATTTATCTTAGTGTTAGCCTGAGGAAAACATGATTAAAAGGAAAATCTGCTGTGAGCCTCTTGTGGGTTTCTGAGACAAATATGAGGTATGTTTGGAGTGTTGGTGCAATTACTCTGTCCCCAGGGACACCGATGGCCAAGCGCTGCCTGTGAGTGCTTTGAGGACAGCTATGGAAATGCAGGCACTACATGGTCGGCACAGATTGTTCCAATAGCAGCACAAGCCCAAAGGAACCAATTTACACGGAAGGGAGAGTAGGTGGGGAGCACGCGTGGCAGGAGCATGGCTTTTGCAATTAGCCAGGTGAGGACACTCTGGCTTCATCCCTTTTGCAATTTGCATGACCCCAGTTGTCAGTGAACCCAAGTTTTCCCTTTGTAAAATAGGGGGCAAAGTACTTACTCTAGGGTGATTGTAAAGATTCACAGGAGACCGTGTTTGCAAAGCTCTAATTGCCTTCCTTCTCTATTTTGGAATAGAATTAATCAAGCAGATGTTTTCTTATAGACACAGAGTGTAAAACAGAGGAAAGACCAATATTTCCCAAGGTTTAAAAATAGAAGGAGCAGGGACATTGATGGGATGGCAAATTTAGCAAGAGGTGAGAAGAGAATGAGCCTTATTTCTTAGTAGGAGCTTAGAAACAAAATCTGCTGAATTAAATGGAGTTATTGGATGACTATCTTGTATTCGTCCAGCACAAGTAACAGAAAACGCAAGCAAGCTGCCTTAAGCGATAAGTGTATTTATTCTATATTTAATAATTAATTTGCTGATAGACCTAATCAGAGAATAAATAACTTGCCCAGAGTCCAGGCGGCTAATTTCTCCTAAAAGCTCACTGACTAGAAGTAGATCGATCACATGGTCACCAATAATCACAAAGGTGACTGGGAAAAAGAGAATATCTAACTTATTAAGCCTCTATAGTTTAAGGGAGAGGGAGGAGTAATGGTTTTTGGATCTGCAACATCGAGCTTAGATTGATAGAGGACATGGAAACATACACACGTACATATTTATTTTATATTGTTTAAGAACGTCAGCAGATATTCTGGGGGGAGGCAGCCACATGTCCACTCCGTGAGTGCAGAGCTGTCAACAAAAAAATGTAGAATTCCTAAAACCCAGAAGTACCTTTGGCCTTCTCGCTGCTTCTGTTAACAGAAACTAGCACCACACAGTTTTTGGTTGGTGTCTATAGGTAAATGGTTTTCTCTATGAAGGGAAATGGAAATTTTTTCTTATACCATCTTGACTATCTCTTCTGTTTATTACATGTTCAAACCCTACTTAGCTACTTACTGTCTGCTTGTTCATGCATGCGTGTAAACAGTCATTTATTTATTAAGTCAATTGAACATCTACTATGTGCAGGGAACAGTGCATGGATTCCTTTAGCTAATATCTCGAGCAGGAAGGAATAGGTATCTGGTAGGAGCTGACTACTGGGAATTCTAGCAACTCACCAAATTAACATGCACAATTTCATGACCTTGAAGATTCCTCAGAGATAACGCTTGTACTTTTACTGAGATATGAACTCAAACCACCTGCTAGTGTTTGAAGTGAGTCACTTTCCTGGTGAGTGAGTTTAGTTGAGCCTTTACACTCAGTGTGCCTTTGTTGAACATGCATTTTATAAGGAAATTATCTGCTACAGTGAGATTTTCAAGATTGGAAATTGGATAAGTTTTCAGAAATATTATTCAAGAATAGAAAAAGTCTAACTTACTGGCATATTATATATAAAGGCCAGTTATGATTTTTGCTAAATTTACATGCTGCTTGAAATATTGGCTTAATATTTAAAAAAGCCAACTCACTTAAAAAGGAACCAAATCTACCCCTATCTTAAGACAATCTATCCATAATTTAAAATCCATGGAATTTAATTTTTAATGCATATTAAAAATAAATAACTATAGAAATAAATTTGTTAGCCAGTGTTTCATGTAAAGTCCCATTGTCCTAATGGGATATGAAGAATAATGACTTTGTAAATTACTTAAAACGGGTTTAAATACTGGATCTGATATTGGTGAGTGGTCTAGGCTTGGATAAATGACATAACTGCTATGATTCTCTGGTTCCTCAGCTGTCAGTAGGGTTGAAGTTACCTACCTGTTATGAATGCTGAGAGAACCAAGTGAGATAATATGTAGATTGGCAGAGTGCCTGGTGCTACACTGACTTCCCATAGTGAGTAGTTAATGATAGCTTATATTGACTAGGAGTGCACCTTAGACTCACTGAGGTTGAATAGAGCTTTATCTTCCTGGAAACAAAGACAGAAACAGTGAACTATTTGATTTCATCCTAGCAGAATAGATTTTCTTTGGGATGCTAAATGCAGGCATCTCTAAGGAGGTGACAGAAATCCATTAAGCACCTGCTGAGGTCTGGTAAATGGTGACTGGAATGAAGAAGAAAAAGGTGAATCTGAAGTAGAATTGGAATGAGGAGTCACTTGCCAACTTTGAGTGGCCAATGGGAAGAGCAAGTCCAGGGCAGGTGCTGTCCAGCGTGAGGGTGCTGAAATGGCACAGTAGCACAGCAGCAAGTTGCAAATAATTTTGTCTACACATGTCTCTGCTTCCTCTGCTCATATCTCAGGTATGCTTTCTCTCCCACCTTTCTCAGAGTCTACCTTCTCAACCTTTCATCTGTGCATTGCTTTCCCACTCAAACCTCCACAACCATCCCATAATCTCTTCCAGCTGGCTGATTGCTAACTTGCCAATGATGCTCACTGCTGCCAGCAAGGGCTTCACTCGGGCTGGATGTGGGAAGTAGCTGGAATGAAGATTAGAGGACTGAGCATACACAACATTTTCTCCTTCAGTCACAAATAGCCCCCAGTGTTAGTGTGACTGGATCACAGCCTTGGACTGCAGAGGCTGAGGAAGATGGTTTTCAGAAAGATGGTTATAGAGCTGCTGCTTATTCTGTTTTAAACCCCAGCTTTATCTCCCATGTCCCTCAGCATGGACTGCCCCTGAGCTCCATTCATCAGGCCTTTGCACATGGTCTCCTGCTCTGGTTCCTGTCCTGTTCTTCAGTCTCGCAGTTCTTCTACCAGTTCTTCTACCAGTTCTTCTACCCAGTCAAGCTGTATCTTTCCCATGTCTAAATATCCAATGTAAAGTTCCCCTTCTCCAGAGCACCCTAACTGAAAGCCATATTTCGTTCTTCTGAAATCCTGCTGCGTTTTGGGAATAAGCTTGGATAAGCCACTTCCTCATTGGCTACAAACTGCCTTAAAATTAAACTCATTTTGAATGTTAGAAACTATGTGGCAGTTTTATTCCCCAACCAAACTATACACACTTGGAAGGGCAGGGACCAAGGTGTATTCATGTTCTGTATTTCAGGTAATTCCAAATATATAGCAGATTTACTGTGGTGTTCAATAAATAGTTATTGATTGAATAACAGAAGGAAATGACTTTGGAGGAAATGAAAGGAACAGAAAAGTGAATTGAAAATTGACTAACAGTGTCTCAGGAGGGGCATGGACCAGAGAATCTAATAGGTTGTACTTTGTCTTCAATGAAGTCCAAAAAGTTGATTAGGTATTTGAAATAGGAGACACTGATGGGAGCTAAGGTAGAGTAGGCTAAACAGGATTTAAAAAATACAGACTCAGATGTATCTAAGCCAAAAATTTGAGTTTCAGGGCATTCAGTTTAATCTGATCACATGGTTTAATCTGATTAAACTATCGTAGAAATGTAGAATCACAAATTTGGAAGGGACATAATAAGTCACTCTTAAAGGCACTGGCTGATGTATGATTTACATTTTCAACATCTTCACTAAGTGGGCATCAAAACTTTAGTACTGGAGATTTTACTAGCAATGGAGACAGTACCTGTGAAGGAGTGGAATTCGGTTTGGCTCAGTCCAAATATTAAAAAAAAAACGAGAACTTAGGGATAGCATCATGGTAGTGGTTCCTGCTGGGAAGAAGCAGATGACCTACGACTGCATTTCTGTGGGCGCTTGGAAGTTGTCGGGAGTTCTCTGTATCGTTTGACCAGATGCATGTCCATTTTTTCTACCTTCTCCTGTCCTACCATTTATGGTTAACGCTTTCCCATGACTTTATTTTCCTATTTCTTCAAATACATAGGAGGCATCATAGACAGCTATATCTTCATCCTGATTTAGGCTTTCTAGGACCACTCAAATCTTGGGAAATTTCCTTGAAATACTGAGGGCACAGGAAATCGCTACTCTTGGCATCGAGAACATATGTCAAAGCTGGAAGAAACCTCAGAGATCATGTATCCACCTCTGTCCTGTAAAAGAAGATACTAAGGGTCAGATTGAAAAATGTTTCATCTCTGATCAGATCGATCACGAAGGTGAGTGAGGTTAGCAGTCATGAAGGTGAGTGAGGTTAGTAATTTCAAACAGTAAATCCCAGGAGAGTACCCCCAGTGACAACACTCACACATATAAAAGGACTGTGATAGCTTAGGCGGGTATGGATGTCACATTTATGTACCATTTGCATACACCCACATCACCCCCGTGGTCTCTTCTCTGATACTTCTCAAGTGAGAATGTATCATTGCTTTCCTTGTTTGTCATTTTTAGTTTCTCATTCCTCTGTTCCTCTTCACCCACTCACAGCCCAGATTCCCTGCAGCATACAAGGAAGTGGGGAGGGGGTAGGATTCACAGAACATTAAAATTAAACTTCAGACAACTGTGTTTCTCTCTGGCCATCTGGTTCCTGCTAGAACAGCCATTTCTCAAAGGCAGGGCTCCTGGCCTCAACAGTCCACCCAGTGACCAGCCAAGGGGGATACTCAGGAAGAGAGGCCCAGGTGGAGCCACCTGGAGATAGTCAGGACAGGTAGTCTGATAAGGATTTTAATGCAAGACTGCCATCTTTGAAGAGAGGGGCCTTCTTACTCATCACACTATCTTTAGCTTAGTACAGTAAGCAGCACACACTGGACCATATATATTTGTTGAATAGAGGAATGTATAAATTTATGTGAAAAGTTTTTAATCCTTATGTAAGCATAGAAGTTGTCTACTGAATGCATCGCCTCTGGAGGAATTAACATTTTATGCTTCTGGAAACTTCACAGTCATTCTCTTGTTTGATCTCTACTACAGGTTACTACAGTAGGTGCCTTCTGGGAAAGTGCTTTGTGAGGTCCAAGGTGCTAAATACATGCGATATGTTGTTAGTTTTGACATAGTGTGTTAGTCAATTTTTTTTTTTACAATCTTTTTTCCCTTTTTATTTTTTAAATTTTTTTACATCATTGTTCATTTTTTAACAATATTTACTTCCCCTCACTCCCTCAGGTGTAGTCCCCATAGAGTTTCCTTCCCCAAGGCACCTGCGCACCATCACCTCAGTACCCTGTGCTCCTCCCTCTCTCCCTCTGATCCCTCTTCCACCTCCTCCCCAGCAGCAAGTCTGATTTATATTTGTCTGTTTTTGCTTTGCGGTGTTTTGTACCGTTATTATTTTTTTACACTGATGTCTTATTTGGTTCTCCTATATTCCTGCTATAAGTGAAACCATCCGATATTTTTCATTTTCCTTCTGACATTTCACTGAACATAATTCCTTCTAACTCCATCCACATTGCCGCAAAAGGCATGAGTTATATTTCTTCATTGTTGAATAATATTCCATGGTGTGTATGTACCACATCTTCTTGATCCAGTCATCTATTTTTTGGGCATTTGGGTTGTTTCCAAAGCTTAGCTTTTGTAAATAGTGCTGCTATAAACATAAGGGTGCAGTTGTCCTTTTGAATTAATATTTTTGTGTCCTTTGGGTAGATTCCTAGGAGTGGAATTGCTGGGACATATGGTAGTTCCATTTTTAGTAGTTTGAGGAAGCTCCACACAGCTTTCCACAGTGGCTGGACCAGTTTGCTTAATTTCCCTGTCCTTGAACATGGGTTAGACCTAGTGACTCATTCCTAACAAATAGAAATGTGGGCATGGGGGTTTTGCTCAAGCATGTAGGTAGATGTCCGGGAACCTTGCGGAGATTGGTATCTAGGAATTTGTCCACAAGGCTTGGGAATTTATCCACGGAGAGAGGCCCCGAGTTCAGCTGAGCTCCAGAGCTGTCTGCTGGTGAAAGGTCAGTGGATTGAGGGGGCACGCTAGGCAGGGTGGGGTCCCCAGGGCTCCTGGGTGTGTCTTGCATGAGGCAGCAGGGAGCAACCTGAGCACCAGGGGAAGGAGTCAGACGTGCAGAGCTTGGGCAGATACCAGAGGCCAGGAAAAGAGTCTATGATTAGGGTGGGGTTAGGCTAATTTACAATCTGAAGATTTACAGCTTTCTTCCTGATGAGGGGTGTGGACTAGAAGGTGCATGTACCTTGTTTACCGGCCTAGAAGAGGGCATTTTTTTTTAAAGATTTATTTATTTATGCATACAAGAGCTGGGGTGTAGGCCAGAAGTGTGTGTGTGTGTGGGGGGAGGAATGAGAGGATTCACCAGAGACGGAGTGGGGAGCAGAACAGGCAGATCTACTGAAGTACACTGCTGAGGGGAGCAGCGGGCGAGACAGGAGAGGTCTGCTGCACCATGTGGGTAGCTCCCTGGCTGGGGATCGAACATGTGCAGCAGTGGCTGCTGATAGTGTCATCGTGCTGAGACTTAAGCCCTTGCGCCACCAGGGAGCTCCAAAGAAGGCATTGTTTTGGATGAGGCAGTGGCCACTTGAAATAGGGATTTTGCTCTCTGTGTCACAAATACCTACTTGGAGACTAGATTGCCTCACTGCGTAGCTGAGATCTTGGCTTCTGTTACTAGAGGGGGTGGGGAGCAAAGGGTGGAAGGGCCCAGTGGACCGTGGTGGGGAACAATGGGGGAGTGGGGTGGTGACATACATCTGACAAGATTGTGAACCTCTTCCCCTAAAACATAAACAGTGTGGCTAACCGATGTTACTGCAATAAAAATAATTTAAAATAGACTAAAAAAATAAGATCCTGACCTCCAGAAGCTCCTTGGGGCTGCAGAAGAGGATAGGGGAGCCTCGCCCTCTGTAAGAAACCCTCAGTCCTGGACTGTTCAATACGGCAGCCAGTGGCCGCACGAGGCTCCGAGCAGGTGACAGGGGACGGGTGCAAACCGCCATGTCTGTCAGCGGAACAGTCACTTCAGACGTTAAAGACTTAGTATGAAAAAAATGTAAAATTCCTCATTACTAATTTAAAAATATTGATTGTTAAACCAGGTGAAACTGAGGGCATTCTGGGACCCCCCAAATGGGGGGAAAAGCCCCATTTTGCTCATTCTAAGGGTCTGGCCATCTGCACACATGAAGTCAAAGAAGCAGAATCAAAGATCTTTAATTGGCGTAACGTTCAAAGCCGGGGGAGAGGGTGGAAGGAGAGAAAGAGAGAGACACAGAGAGAGGAAGAAAGGACTTCGAGTAACTGACTCCTGATCAAACCCCCCAAATTACCCAGCCCTTGTGGGCAAATGCCCGCTCAAGCAGGTTGGGCCCAGATCAGGGTGGCTGAGGTGCAAAAACTTGCCGGGTGTCTAAGGCACCTCCCAGCAGGGAACCGTAAGAAGGGGTTAGGCAGGTCCCAGAGAGCTGCACAGAGGAGAGACCCGAAAATTCACAGTGGACCACGTAACCCACCACGAGGGAGGCCAAGCTGACGGCCGCCACTCTCCTTCCACCTGCCAAAGTGCCCACGTCCCAGGACCTCAACGAGGCCCCCTCCTGCCTCCCTGTTTTACCTCAAATATATTTCTGCTTTGCTCTTTCCTCCTTTCCAGTGCCCCCTCCTCATTCAGGAAGCCTGGCTTTTGCTATGTGGGGGGCCTGAGATCTGGCTGATGAGGCAGTGTGGCTGGAGGGGTGTCCATCCCGAGCCAGCTCCTCCCTGCTCCTCAGACAATTACATGTTAAAGAGATATTTATGACTCATTGGGTTAAGTAGTATCTATTATTGAAGTTAACTTTGCCTTTTTCTCTTAAATAAGACAATTAAATTATGTATGTAGCCCATGTTTGTGGCTGTGTTTGGTTTCTGTTGGACAGTCACAGCTGGACGGATCCTGGTAGTTCCCTTCCTGGCTCTTTCTTTGCTCTCTCAGTTCTGGGAGCTTCTATGCACCCACTTCAGCAGCCAATCCATGCCCTGCTGAGGGAAAATCTTCAGGTATTGCAGGGGAGAAGCTGCGGCAAGAAAGGCAGATGGAGCCCCCAGCCCATGTTCCGCATAGGGAAGGAAGGAAGGAGAGTCCTCAAGCCCACGGAAGCCAGTGGTCTCAGCTAGGCTGACTCCTCCCTACCTCCAGGGACATCTGGAAGTATCTGGAGACATCTTTAGTTCTCACAGGTGGGTGGGGTGGTGGTGTGCTATTGGTATCGCAGGTGGAAGCCATGGATGCTGCTCAACATTCTACAATGCACAGAATAGCACCCCCTCCAGTCCCAAAGGTCAAGCATCTAGGAAGCCTTTGGCCACCTTTGGTCAGGGGTCAGGAGGTGACATTGCAGAGCGCCTGCCCACCCTTCTTCTTTCCCTTTCTGTTCTTTTAGATTTTAACCACTTGTTTCTTTTTTATTTGCCCCTGGCACTTTCTTGATCCTCTGTGACTCACAGCCCTTCCCTTGTACCCTTGAACCTGCCTGAACTGGTCCTGGTGGAGAGAGAAGGCCTCTCCTTCCCAGCTGTGACTCAGAGGCCCCAGGGGCCAAGTCAAGACCTCTCCCTCCCGGAGATAAGCAGATAAGCTGGAGACAGGCAGAGGGAATTGGTTCAGAGGGGCCTGGTTAGTTGCTCCTCTCTTCACCTTTCCGTCTGTTGTTTTTCCCATTCCCAACGCCCTTTGCCGCTGTGCTGGAGCTCAACAGAAGCTCATTTTTTTCAGGGTACGAAAAGGGCTCTAGTAAAATCCTTTAATTTTATCTAAAGCATAAAAACTCTTGCCTCCAGATTTCTTGCAGAAATCCAGGTTTGGGGGCCCTCAGCTGGGAGCAGTGATGGTGGAGTTCGGACAGGTCCATCTGTGACCTTCCAACCAGACTTCATGGAGCCTCATCCCAAGCCCCAGCTCTGGAGGGCACATCCCCTGCCCCTAGGGAGCTTACAGTCTGGCTGGTGACACACACCCATTATCAATGATGTTTCAGTGGACCCAGAGGTCGCAGATGATTTATAAGGGAATAATGGTGATGGCAAAGAGGATAATCGAGGCAGGACAGGAGAAGACAGTGACGTGGACATCAGCATCGCCCTCACGGGCAAGTTGGAGCACAGGGGGGATGTCACGAAAATAGTGGCTAATTACCTTGGGGCCACCATGGGGTAACCTGAAGATATGCACCCAGCCAGCAAAGCTGAGTTGGCAACAGACAACATATTGGTGGCCGCCACCAGCTGGACACACAGACGCCGGGGCGTGGTGGTGGAGAGGGTGGCAGGTGGCGGCTGGGGCAGATGCTCAGCTGACTCAGGGAGAGCCATGAGGCCATCTGGACACTCAGCCTGCAAAGGACGAGGCCTGGCCCGAGACAAGGAAGTGCTCCAGCAGCCTGGGGTGTCGACAGTGGAGAAAGAGGGGTCTGTGAAGGAGAGGACATCAGGAAGAAGTACGTGGGCATGGAGGTGGGGTGGGGGGGCTAGGGGGCATGTACATCAGGGTATCGTGCCCATATTGCCTGGGAGGTGGCTGAGTAGTTGAACAGGAGCAGGACAAAGAAGAGGCCTTAGGGCTCTTCCAGCTTTGGGAACCCCAGCATGAAGGAGCAGTTGGCTTAGGTGTGGTTCTCCACCCTGGTGGGAATGTCTCTGTAGACAGACCAAATAAGACAAGTGTGTACCTGGGAGACAGATAGGAGCCTGTGGTGTTCCCCGAATGGGTAGTGCTGGGGATGGGAACACTGGCATGCACTGAACACCTGCTTTGCGTCATGTGTCAACTCATTTCTTAAGCCACCATTAACACTTCATACATGTTTTCTCTGGCTTGCTACAAAATATGCTGGTCGTTGAATGTAAGAGTGGATAGAACGTGCCAGGGAGAGTGTGAGCTCTCAAGACAAGAGGCCCAGGGTAGACCCTAAAGGAAATTAATTTCGAATTTGCTGCACACAGCTTCTGATCTCTGATTCCGCTCTCCCCTCCCCCATTTACCTTGGTGCTGGGGCTGATGACTTGATTGAAGAATCTTGGGAGGAAGGAGGATGTAAGAGTTAAGCCCTTACTGGTAATAGGATCCACCCTTCAACCCACTTGCCTGTGGCCATCTGTCCAGCCATCCCTCCCTGAGTCTTGCTGTTGGGTATCTCTTGAAGGTGTTTCTCAAGAGAACTTCTCAGATGTTGTAAGAAAGCTTTGAGATTTCTTATTTCCAGGAAGATTCCTGTCTTAAGATCCATCTGCCTTTTCCCCTCCTGACTCCGAGAGAGCAGAAATGTGCCAGTGAATTGTGACTAGTTCTCCTAGGAACAGACCTGGAACTGCAGGTGGTGGGTGCTGGAGAGATCTTGGGGTGGGTGCCCAGGAATTCCTGATGAGTAGGGAGGGGTTCTCCATCAAAGCCTGGATAGACCTTCTTCATATACAGTGTGTGTCCCGAGGTCTCTCTTTTCATGTTACTGAGTCTCCAAAGGCTCTCAAGACAAAATGGAGTAAGGACACATGTCAACAGAATCCCCAGGGCTCCCCGGAAGTGACTGACAGTGTCCATGATATCTGCATGTGTGTGGTCTTTGAAGGTCTAGATGTGGCTTCCCCAATTGTTACTTCCTTTGACCTTCAGACCCTGGAAATATGTGTGATGTATTTTGGGCTCTCATGCACACATAAATTTACACCATAATTGCTTTCTTCACTTAATAATACTGAAACACCTTTCTCCACCTCAAAAAAAAAAAAAGTAATTCCCCCCCCCACAAATGTTTTTATTGTTCTGGTAAAAATGACACATGCTACTTGTGAAAAATCTAAGCAACACAGAAAAGAATGAAGAAAAAGTTATGTGTCACCTGAAATTCTACCACCACAGAAAATGGGAGTTGGTGAGTGTTGTTATAAATCACTCAATAAGCTGATATCTGTTATGCTCTATCAACGGAATCATGCTATTCAAGCTATCCTGTCATTTCCTTTCTCCCTCAACAAGATGTCATAGACATTTCCCCATATCAATCAATCAGGAATACTCAACACAGCCGTATTGAGTGGCTGCTATCTTCCGTTGTGCCATTATTCACAGAACGGGTCCCACTAGTTGACAAAAGGCATTTCCAAGTTTTCACTGTTATAAACAACTCTCACAGATACCCTGGGGCTTGGGGCTTGGAGTGTCAAGTCCAGAGAGAACTGGGTCTAGAGAGACTGTTTTCCCAGACCAGGAAGGGAGAAATTGGCTCTTTTCTTGGGGGAGACTGGCATCTTGGGTTTTCACAGTCCCAGGGGAAATTGTCTCTCCACGCAAAGGAAAGGGCCTTGTGAGGCAAATGGCTTGTTTGTGTAAAAGCAATTCAGTCCCTAGACTACTGATGTGGGAGGGGGCGTCAGCAGATGAGGCCTGGGTTGTCTGGATTGCCTGTGTTTCCCACATCAGAGGCCTTATTCACTTGGGAGAGGTTGTCTGGATCTCACTGTAGAAGTGAAACATGCACTGCATGAGCGGGGCTGTGGACAAATGCTGATTAACCACCAAGGGCACTGCCTATTTTCACATGGCAATGAGCTCTCCTCCAGCTGAAACCATTTCCCTGCTAACTGTCTCTGCCCACTCGGTGGGGCTGAGTGGGAGAAACATGTAGCATTATAGTTCACATGTAATGTCATTGGTGGGAGGAAGTGCGGTGAGTCCTGTTTCCGTGGCATCTGAACATGATTGCATTATTTTATTTTACAAAATAACCAGCACAACTGGAGACGGGAGACCATCTACACCCACATAGCTTAACTCTTGGGACTGAGAGTTGAGACTTCCTGCAGGAACATGATGTCACTAATTGCTCCAGGAAATTCAGACATAGGGAGATGTGACTATAAACCAGCAAATAATTTCACTATTTGTTTCATGAAATTCCTGCGAGTCAATTTGTCTGAACAAATACTTTGCTCCTCTGAGCAAATAGCTTTCCTAGCAGGACAGAAGATTACTCACCTGGGTAAGCAATTTTCTCAACAAACAATAGTTTCCTTTTCAAGATCTGTTTTCCGGTCCCTCCCTCCCTGTAGCTGCCAATCCTGAACTATGATGTCACAACCTTTGTCCAGTTCCTGTCTGGTCCCTGCTTGGGAAGATCTGCATTGAAACACTTGAATCCAGATCTCCAAATCCTACATTTTCCATTGATTTTCTTCTTCTTTTTTTAAAAAAATATTTATTTATTTATGCACACAAGAATTGGGTTGTAAGTCAGAGGTGCGGGGCGTAAGAGGATTCACCAGAGACAGAGTGGGGAGCAGAACAGGCAGATCTACTGAAATACACTGCTGAGGGGAGCAGTGGGAGAGACAGGAGAGGTCTGCTGCGCCACGTGGGTCAGCTCCCTGGCTGGGGATCGAACTCATGCTGCAGTGGCTAGTGATAGTTTGATAATGGTGCTGTCTTTAACCCCTGCACCACTAGGGAGGCCTGATTTTCTTCTTTGAAACATTATTAAGATTCTGTGTTCCTGGGCCTCCCTGGTGGCGCAGCGGTTGAGCGCTGGGTTGCGAAGCTGCCCGCAGCTTCTGCAGTGCTGGTTCGATCCCCGGCTGCTCCCCGGCCACTGGAGGAGGGTCCCACATGGCGCCCAGACCTCTCCTGCCGCCCGCTGCTCCCCTCAGCAGTGTACTTCGGTCCTTCTGCCTGCTCTGCTCCCCCCTCTGGACCTGGTGAATTCTCTCACCCTCCCGCGCTTCTGACTGTACCCAGTGCTTGTATAAATAAATAAATAAACAAACAAATAAATAAATCTTAAAAAAAAAAAAAAGCTTTAAAAAAAAAAGGATTCTGTATTCCTTCTTACCATGGCAGGTCTAATAAACTTAGCTTGGGTTGAGCTATGGGTTTTCTGATGGCCTTAAAGAGTTATTATTGGCAATTTAGTCTTTACTTTAATGCGCTTTGCTTGCTGTTTAGGCCACCTTTATCTCTAAATAACTGTGAAGAAAGACAGTGCTGTGTTGCCTTCAGTGGAGTTCACTTCCTCAGTGTATCTTTCTCAGTGTATAGGTTTATTGGTAGTGTCAGGAGCGTGCACATTTCCTGTGAATGTCAGGGGTGGAAATAATTTTCGAGTTTTTTTTGAAGTACTCCTTTGCACAGGGCAAAACTGAGGTTCTGGTTCTTCTCTGATTTGGGGGAGAGAGGCTAAAGTCGGCTACTTTAAGCAACATATTTTCTCCAAACCCTGACTTTTCTTTTTCTTTTCAAAATTCAAACAAAATGCAATGGAATTAAATATCTAATACAGTCCAATACAAAATATATAATCATATTAAGGTATCAAGGAAAATCAAATAAAACTTCCATTTATAAAAAATGAGCATGGCCATTTATGATCCTATTGTTTTTACTTTTGTTTTTGGCTTCAGAGGTAACATTGGTTCACAACACAGTGCACGACACAGGGGAGCAGGTCCACACCTTCCAACCCATCACCCTGTGCCTTGGCACCCTCCACTCCACCCTCCTTGCTCCCACCTCCCCCTCCCTCCCCCTCTACAGCCTGAATTCTGCAGTCATTTCTAGGGTTTGTTTTGGTTTTGTCAGTTCAAACCCTGGATTTTCCATGCAATTGGCGAATCATTGTCCACCCTTGAAACCAGCCTGAACTTGCCCTGGACTCATTTTTGTGGTGACGCACAGAGATCACGCCAGGCTGTGCTCGGCAGGGAATGGTGGCTTCCTCTGGTGGCAAGAAGGGTGGGGCCAAGGCAGCAGCACCAGGGGGCCCTTCATTTCCTAGTTCTTGCAGTGGCTAGTATCACGCTACTTTTTTCCTTTTCCAGGTCGTTCTTCAGATGCTATGGAGAAAATGAAAATTCCTGAATCAAGACTGTGGGATTGAAGAAAACAAGATCCTGGTGGGAAATGTGGGGGCAGCTCTTTGGCTATTTTGACAACAGTAGACACGTCAACTTGTGGGGTAGATCTCTGCAAGGGGTTTCAGGCCCCAACCTGCAGCAGGAGCTCACCTGGCTCTACCTGGCTCTACTTTATGGGCTGTGTGACCTTAAAGGCGATCATCTCTTGGCCTCTCAGTTTCCACATATGTGAAACAGGCATAACCTACCATAGGACCGTTACGGGGGTGAAGTGAGTGCCCTCCCTGAGTGCCTGGCTCATACATGTGTTCAGTGTATAATGGTTGTTCATTATCATTAATGGGAAAACGCCTTCCTCCGGGACCAGTAGTGTTTTATTCAAGTCCTGCGCCTTGTCACAGAGCTCCTGGTATTCTCTGCAGCAGCACTACACAGTGGTCTACACGCCGACTGGGGGCCGGTCAGGACAAGATGGCGGCGGTGGCTGGCTTCCGGGTCCCCAGGCCACAGTGGGGCCGCCTGTGTCGCGGGTTGGGGGGTGGGGAGCTGGGCAAGGAGGGCTCAGCTAGTGCATGGAAGGCCCCAGCTACTTGGTCCTGCTCCCTGGCGTGGGAGGTAGCTGCTGAGGCCTTTCCTGGAGTCGCAGCTCTGGAAGCACCCAGAGACCCTAGTTCACGCCCTACTCCCATCTCTGCATGAGGTCTGAGCCTCTTCCCTGGGGCGATGGCACCTGTCTTTCTTCCAGAATTCTCCTCTGAAACCCTTGCCCACTGGCTATGAGGATGAATAAAGAGAACCGGGACCACTGCCCAGCAACGGAGGCCGCTGCACTTGTTTGGATCATTTTTCTGTGCATGAACTAGAAATGTGTGGAGACCTTCAGCTCATCTTCACTTGATTCAAATGATGACCTGTTTCCTGCCCCTCCCTCTGCTTAAGGCAGAGATGGATTAAACAAGTCACTTGATAAGTCACCAAAACAAACAAACAGACTCAAAAAACCTACCTCCTAAGAGGAAGAGGAGAAATAAATATAAATAAATATGCTTCCTCCTCCCCCATGAGGTGAGCAGGATCCTAGGTCGCTGGGGGGTGAAGGAAGCACCAGGTCTGGCTCCTGCCTGAGGGAGCCTAGGAGTAGTCGAGGGTGCAGACATAGCAGGTAAGCATGGGGCACGGGGTCTGCAGGCGTGCAGCTCTGAAGGAGTCCCCGTTCCTTGTCTGTTCCTGGGAGTGGTGAGTGAGGACGCAGGCGTTGCAGAGTAACCTCCTCTCAGTAGCTACAGAGGTGCTGACTTTCTTCTGAGGTGACAGAGAGTCTCTAGTTAGAGGGCGGTTAATCGGCTACCAGGGTATGAGATGAGGAGGGTCTTCAAAGGAAGCCTAACTCCAAGCAAATTTTGTGCATCAGCAGGTGTCTGGAGGGATCTGGAAACACCCCTTTATGCTGAGTCAGTCTCTGGGTGAGTCCGTCTTGACTTCTCATGACCTCAGGGATGAGGAATCCAATATTGTCTTGTTCCCAAACGTCCTCCCTGTCGGTCTGGCCTCACGCTTGACCCTGACTCATGCTGCTGTTTTTCTTATCTTGACCTGGGTTTTGAACTCTTACCCTTCTTCTCATATTTGGCCCCGGGCTCCTCCTTGGTGGAGAGTCACTGCTCTGCTCTCCAAGATGTCCTAACTTGTCCCGGCTCTGCCCTGCCGTGGGGCTGCCGGCTTGAGCTCCTCCCAGAGACAATGGGAGCCGGGCTCAGCATCTGTGAGCTCAGTGCTCAATGGTGGGAAGACACGAGATGCAGGTGACGGCTTTGGGCTTCCGGGGAGTGCATCTTTCAGAAGGTGACCAGGATGGCAGTGATGGTGAAGAGAGACCCAGGGAGAGGGTGACCTCAGCCTTGGCAGTGGCAGCACAGGCAAGATGGAGCTTGGGCAGAGGAGTGGCGATCCCAGACATCGATTAACAAGGCTGGGGCCACAGAAGGGCTCCCTGAGGATGTCATATGGCAGGACCACACCCTGGGTGCCAGCAGCCAGAGTGGATAATGCCAGGGGAAGCGGGGGTGGTAATGCGGTGTGTATCTCCAGCTTGGCACGTCTCTCATGGACAATGAGAGGATTCTCTGGCGGTGGATCTGCCCCATTTGTTGTCATGAGACTTGTGGTGTCCCTCAGCTTTCTTCACTGGGCAGAAATAATAAGGGAGATAAAGCAACAGAACAACACAGGTTAGAGAAAGTGTTCAGTATAAGGAAGACTAATAACAACAGCTATTTTGTGCTGAGCATTAATTAAGGACCTGACATTTCTCTAAGTGCTTTATAGACATTAAATCTCCTGTAATCCTCGCACACCACCTTATGAGGTAATTAATATCGACATACTCACTTTTTAGGTAGAGACCAAGGTCGGGCAGTGTTGTCTGACGGAGCTGGAATCCAGGCCTAGGTCTGCCTGCTCCAGATTCCATGCTCTGAACTGCAAAAGGTGCTGCCTCCCTGGGAAATTAGCAGTGAGACAGGGCTGCACAGGCATAGAAACCAAACCTGATGGGGCCACCATACGGGACCCCATGAGGCTTAGGGGGCTAACTTGAAAAGAATCCATGGACACCCCTTTGGGGTTATTTTGGTGACCTCTGCTATGTAAGAACCCCCCTAACACGTAACATCTTAAAGCGATGACAATTTGCTGTTTCTCCCAATTCTGTGGGTTGAGCGTGAGAGCGGTGCTCAGGGTGCGTGTTCTTCTGCTCACTGAGCAGCGGGCAGCTGGCTGCGGGCCATGACCAGGCCTTCCTTGGTGTCTAGTGCTTAGTGTTCTTCGTGTGACCTTTGCTAGCTGGGCCTCCTCACAGCCCGATGGCCTCGGGTGGCCTTCCAAAGTGGAAGGCTGAGCCTAGAGCTGGCACCTTGTCCCTTGTACTGTACACTATTGTCAAAGCAAGTCACAAGTAGAGTTGCCAGATCTGACATGGCACCCAGTTAAATTTGAGTTTCAGAGAAGCAATGAGTAATTTTTAGTATAAGTATATCCCTTCTGATACTGGGATATACTTAGACTGAAAAAAGCATTCATTGTTTGCCACTGTTTACCTGAAATTCAATTTTAACTGGGCATCCTGGGTTTTTAGTTGCTAAATGTGGCAATTCTAGAGTCACAGGCAGGGGGAGCAGCTCCCGCCCGCCCCACAGCCCGGTGAGTGGCCTGTAGATAAGGGAAGGAAGGAATTAATGGTGACCACCCTGGAGACAAGGCCTATCAGATGCTTCCCAAACAGTGGCGCTGGTAGAGCACAGTGGGTGACCGGGGGTATTTCAGAGTCTGAGGTCAATTCTGATTCTGCCACTTACTAATTATGTAATCTCAAGCAAGTTACTTCACCCTCTGTGACTCAGTTTCCTTATCTTGCAAAAGAAGTTATTCTTAGTTTGTGCCTCCTAGGGGCCGTTGGGAAGGATTTTTGAGAAGACCAGCAGAAATAATTTTAGGAGTTATGTTGTTCGGAGGGCAAGCAGGATGGCAGAGGGTCATAGCCCCTCTAGAGGGTGGGCTCTGGCCCCTCTAGAGGGTGGGCTCCCCTTCCTCAGTGTGGGCACCCAGCTGGGGAACGGATAGGTGTGACAGCTGTGGCACGAGGGGGCGGCCTTCCTGCCTGTTTTCTCCATGAACCATGCGGTGAGGGTAAGCTGAGAGGTCCCAGGGGGAAATAAAAAGTGGAGAATGTGCCAGAGGTTGCCAAAGAGTGTCACGTGCCCATGTAAACTTCGTGACGAGAGAATTTCAAGGGAGGCCAGGGAGCAGCGGTGTTGTCTCCAGCTGGGCTCGGGCAACTCCTGGACTGAGAGGCAGCGCAGGGTGGACGTTGTCCAGCAGTCTGCGGGGCGGGAGCGGCAGGGGGAGGCTCTCGGCAAGGGAGGGAGCCTAAGAGTGAACATGGAGTCTGGGGTGAGCAGCGAGGCCGTGAGGGCAGGAGGATGGGCAGTGGAGCAAGGAGTAAACGGGTTGCCGGCCGCAGGTTCCAGGCTGCCAGCGCCGGCCTTGGGATGGAGGCACAGGGCAGAAACCAGCAAAAGGCCAGAATGCTTGAGAGAGATTGGGTGCTTGGAGACGGTGCATCGTTGGCTGGCAAAGGTTACGGACACGATGGAGGGGGTGGGGGGCGGGGGCGAGGGCACAAGGAATTGCCCTGAGGTGGCCAGGAGCTGGGCTGCTGAGATGCTGGATGCTGCCTGCGGGCAGGACCCAAAGTGAGTCACAGTGTAGATTTAAACAGCAGGGAAATTGTGTAAGAATATTCTGGCTATGGGTGCTTTGCTGGTGGGGGTGGGGTGGTGGCATCCATGTGAGGAGGGGTGAGCCTCGGCCCCTCAATCACATGCCGATGTTAGTGCAATGAAAACAACGATTTTAAAAAGTGTAAATAAAGATAGACTTTGGTGGTGGGAGAGCTACGGGTGTACAACAAGGCTCCTTCATTAAAAAAACAAACAACAAAAAGGTTAAAAAATATGAAGATACTTGCATAGATGAAAAAATAATACCTGGCATATAGAAGATGATAAATGCTGGCTGCCAGCCCTACCTGGTCTGGGAGCAAAGGGCAAAGAGCCCCCCCGCATCTACCCTTTGGGTCCCACCCTCTTGGGCTCAGACCTGAGTGAGCCCCGAGTCAGATCCTTCCTGGGCTGTGGGGCAACTGTGCCTCGTAGCCCCTCAGGCTGCCCTGGAGACAAGCCGGGCCACACGCTGCCCAGCACACTTCGGAAACCCCCTCCCCCCAGAGAACAGACTGCTTTGGTTTTCTTACTTTCCCAAGGTTTTAATCATGGGGGCGCCTGCCACCCGACATTCAGAGGCTGGGCCCCCAGGGAGAGACATAAAGGAAAAACTGCGGAGTCTACCATGAAGCAAATATTGGGCTGAAGAAGTTAAGGTGGAGAAATTGAGGCTTTCAGGAAAAATGCTAACAAGATCTTCTAGCCTGAGCTGCTTGTAAAAAGAGGCGACCCGCAGGCTCCTTGGAATGCAGGAACAGCTTGAGCAGGAGAGTGAGAAAGTGGCTCCAGTCACTTCCCCCAGATGGATTTGTTGCCTTTCTCGGTGTCAGCAGAGGCTGGGGCCGGCTAGCAGCAGTGGAGGCTCCAGAGGCGCTAATGGAGGTGGCTTCGTCCCACAGCTGAGCAGGGCAGTGCTCAGGGGCCGTCGAGCACCCAAAGGGGATGTGCCCCCGGGGGGCAGCCTGCCAGACCATCCTTGTGGCAGGCTTTGAGCTGCACCTTGCTTACTTTGTTCCTGTCCCAGCTGGGTACTCTAGGCTTCTATTTTATGAGCTACCAGATTCCTTTCTAGCAAATTCCTTTTCTGCTTAGGTTAAGAACTCTAACTTGTAGCGCGGCTTTGACGTCTTTATTCCTCAGGCTGTAGACCAGGGGGTTCAGCATGGGGATCACGATGGTGTAGAAGACAGAGAGGATCTTGTTGTAGGCTGCGGCGCTCTCGGGGTTGGGCTGGACGTAGACAAGGAACACAGACCCGTAGAAGAGGCAGAGGGCAGTGAGGTGCGAGGCACAGGTGGAGAAGGCCTTGCGTTGGGCCTCCAGGGACCTCATCCTGTAGATGGTGACCAGGATGTAGCCGTAAGAGACCAGGATGATGGACACGGTGGGGACAGTGACCAAGGCTGAAAAGGAGAGCAGGATGATATTGGCCACCGTGGTGTCCGTGCAGGCCAGCTGCAGCACAGGGGGGATGTCGCAGAAGTAGTGATCGATGACGTTGGGCCCACAGTAGGGCAAGATGAAGACATTTCCTGTCTGCACAGCAGAAATGAACACCCCCACTGCATAGGTGACCACCACCAGCTGGACACACAAGGACTTGGACATGATGCTGTGGTAGAGGAGAGGGTGGCAGATGGCCACGAAGCGGTCATAGGCCATGATGGCCAGGAGCAGACACTCCCTGGTGCCGTGGAGGATCATCAGGGCCATCTGGACCACGCAGCCCTCAAAGGAGATGGACTGGTCAGCAATGAGGAAGCTTATCAGCAGCCTGGGGGTGAAGACGGAGGAATTGCAGATGTCAAGGAAGGAGAGCACACTGAGGAGGAAGTACATGGGGGTGTGGAGGGGAGAGCTGGTGCGGATCAGGTCTATCATGCCCAGGTTGCCCACCAGGGTCACGGCATAGATCAGCAGGAAGACGGCAAACAGCAGCTGCTTCTGCTCTTCCTGGTCTGTGAGGCCCAGCAGGATGAACCTTGTCACGGTGGTAAGATTCTGCCCCGGTGACATCCCCCTGGGCGTTTTCCACATGATGGTGGGCAGCGGGGGAGAAACATGAATGTTAAATTCTCATCAAAGAGGCAGCCCTGAATATCTTCCACACTGGAAAGCCATTCCCCAAAGCCCACGTCAACCCAGTCTTGTCACGACACCCCCTCAGAAGAAGTCTCCAGCGTGGGCCATGGACTCCAGACACACCTCCAAGCTACCCTGCTTGCAAGCAATTCTGAACAACTTACTTCAACAAACACCATGTTTTGCAACATGCCTATGATTTTCCACGTTGATATTTTCTTCCCAGAATGTCCTTTGGTGTCTCCAGGCCCAGCTAAGAGGTCTGGCTTCTTCTCCCTCCCCTGAGTGTCATAGATATTCCTTTAGTTGAATTAATGGCACTATATTTTAATATTATAAAATCCCATTCATCTTTCTTTTTGGATTTTCTTACTTTTATAGTAAGAAGCAGTAAGATACTTACCTAGTGCCCTGGTGGCTATCACAGGGCCTGGTGTCAGTGGCTGACTGGGAATTAATGATTAGGTGCAGAAGATCCTCTTCCTCACTCAGGTGATGGCAACTCAAAGCATTCAGCCAATGCTTTCTAGTCATTTGGGACATTTTCCTCTCACCTCTCATGGAAACTTCCAGCAAATCATATTGGCTCTACCTTGGAAATATGCTCAGTTCCCGCCCCTTCTTTGCAAGATGCCATTTGTCTGACTTGGACCATCGCAGTTACTCTTAACTGGTGTTCCTCCCCATGATGAGGGGTGGCCAAGTGCTGTTAACCACAAGTCAGTGCCCTCACGAAGCCCCACTCTGCTGACCAAGCTCTGCCCCCCACTACCTCGATGTCCTCTGTTCCTGTCTTTTCACTCTTTTTTAGTCTGTTCTAGTTACACCTGCCTCCTCACTCTTCTGCATGAAGTGTCCCTTCCCCTGGGGACACTCTTGCTCTAGTTATTCATGTGGCTCCGTTTCCTCACCTCCTTTAAGTGGAGGCTCAAATGTTACCTGCTTGTGAGCCCCCCTTAAGCATCCTGCTTGCAACTAAACCTGCTCCTATCTCAGCACTCCCTGCCCCTCTTCTTGGATTAGATTTTTTCTTGTCACACGTCCTCTCTTCTAAGAAGCTAATATACCCATGACAGATTTATTATAACAGTGCTTATAAACAATGCTTACATTATTTGGGGGAATTTAATCCTGACATTAGGGTGCAAGAAGCATGAAGCCAAGCATTTTTGTCAATGTTGTCCATCGCTGTACCTTCAGTGATCGGCACATAGTAGGACCTCAATCAACAGTCGTGGAAAGCTACAAAGAAGATAGAGTCACTTCAGGACAAATCAGGCTGCAAAGAAAATAGTAATCAAGATGGGTGAGTTTAGAATTCCATTTGCCCAAATCAAGTGATAAAAATTGGGAATGATTGTGATGAGAATTGGATAAGAATTGAAAGACGATGTACTGGGTGTGTGGAAACCAATGTCCCCGAAAACTGGGACCCGTACTGTCGGGTTGTCACAGCCGCAGAACATGACTGTAGGAGGGGGACCAGCTAGTTAACATGCAGAGGGGATGAACCCTCCAGAGAGGAGCAGCCATGTCTCCTCTTACAGCCTTGAAGTTTTACCCAACGTCTCTGAATCCACAACCTTAATTAACTCCAGTATGTGTTGCACCTATACTGATAACTTTGTGGAAGATCTATACTATGAACGTGAATGCATATTAGAATATACACATATTGAATATGCATACTGTTTAAGGTGCTGAAACGTTTAAGAGTATCTACTTAATTTGACTTGAAATATGGAGGATGATTAGCGAGACTGAATTAACTGAATTTGTGTTTGATTTGATTCTGCTAAAATGCAGAACATTTGATTAATTTAAATATAGAATTTTGATTCGGTAATTTCGAGTTGTTTAAATGCTTATGAAAGCTTTTGAAGGGCTTGGGAAATCAGGTGCATTCCATTTGTGATCGTCATTTAAAAAGTTTAAGAACATTCAATTAATCAAGTTTATACATAGTGTTTAAATGTTTAGGTGGCAGACTTACCTCCTCCAGAAACAACTGAACTATATAAAACAAAGCAACCCCCCCAAAAGAAACCTGAGGTAAAAATAGATGATCACAGCGTGCACTAGGAGCACAGATTTGCCAAAAAAATGGGGTAAGAAAAACTTTAAGTGACCTTTGCTTAGCGTGAGAACTGGGCAGCATATTCCACGGGAGGGAGGGGCAGCCGCACAGCATTGCCCCCTACAGTTACCGATGGGGTCACGAACCTACACCGGGCTCCCGAGACCTGGCACTATGCTGGATAAGTGGGTGCATGAGCAGGCACCCAGGCCAGAGGGGGCGCTGTTGGAGAGATGCGTGGGTGTGGTACTACTGGCTTGAGCCTGAGGTTCGTAGTATGGGACAGCTGGCATTGTGAGTGGGCAGGGAGAAGCAGGTCAGAACACCTGCGTCTCCTTATAAAAGAGGCTACTCCTTGAGCCCAGACTGAGATGTGCAAAACACCTGCCACTGCCCTCACCCCGAGGCTAAAACTGAAACAAAGGAATGCTTGAACAAACTAGAGCTTACACGCCCAACGATAACAGGAGCAAACATCCCAGGATAAGACTCTGCTGGAAAAAGAACACCTCCTGGCCTGTGAACCCCTCTCAACTACAAACCATTCCCGGTACTTAAAAATAGCCTACAAAAGAAAAAAATCTTAATACATATATAAAAAAAGTAGCCTAGAATGGAGGTGCACAGGAGACTATAAGACATAAGACCGAGGAGGGGGTTGCTGTGGAGCCCACAACACAGCTCTGGTACCCAGGCTTAGTGGGAGTCTGGATTCCTGCTCAATCAGGTGTGGGGCAGGCACTCTCCCTGCGGTGGCTCCATTGGGGCTTGGCTCCCATTCGTTCAAGCTTTATGATTTGGTGCTGGGTGAACCACAAGAAAACTGAGTCCTGGGCACTCACCTGTGAATACAGGTCACAAGCCGTGGTGGGCTTTTGGGAGTGGGTGGGGGGCTGAAATGCTAACAACAGAGAAGCTCTGAAAAGAATGAGGTGCTTACAATAATCCTGCTGGTTGTGCAGTGAGCAAGAAATATGAAGGAGGAAGTCAGTATTTGTTGAGCCTCTTCTGCATCTGTTCCTACGTCAGGTGTTCTTCTCACCTGGACCACCTCTAGTGCACTACCTATGTGAGGTCACACATGGATGAACTGGGTGACCACATGGAGAGCTAGAGGCATAACCCTCTCTTCAGAGCTTCAGATCACAGCTGTAGGAAAGAAAACAGATAACTCAAACCAGAGACATTTCTTCAAGGGGACCAAGAGATAAAATAAGGTAAACAGGGATGTACAATAACCTCCCACAATTCAGCCAGTCAGATGTGTACATCAGAAATAACTCGGGAGAATGGAATGCCGCCTAAGCCCAGCATGAGGTCCTTCTAAAACTTTTTAGGGGAAGCCTTGTTCTCCCACCTGAAGTTCCTTTCACAGATTCTGGTTCAGCCACCAGATGTAGACGGGTCAGGGTGTTCCCCTCTTTACCCAGCCTCCCAGGTTGACCCAGGTGTGCAGAGTTTCTTCCACCTGCCGAGAACTCAGACTGGCATTTTTTGTTCTCCGCAGCAGGTCTCAGATCCTGCAGTGGAAATTGGGACTCCCCACCCCCAGGTCTTCCAGACTCAATGTGCACACGTCCAGGGTGTCCACAGTAACCACATGAGGCAGTGCCACTGTCACAGAACCACTGTCACCTGTTCCCAATGAATTCTGCTGGGGTTTCTAAGGGGCACTTGACAATGTCTGTTAAATGAATCCATTCCATGGAGGGTAGGTTTAGAAAGAACAAGAGGATTGTTTCAATTTTAGGTTTTCCCTAATGTTTCTGGGATATATGTTCCTATGTTGCAAACCCAGGGGGGACAGCAGTCATGACAAGCCCTCCCCATGCTCCTCTGAGTCCCAGCCACTCAGCTTTCTTTTCAGCAGTTACCAGTTAGTTTCTTGTGCTGCTTTCCTCATTTACTTATTGCTCATTGTAGGGGAAGGTAAAAAGCATCAGGCTTTTCTGCCCTCCCACCATCAGGATTGATGATGGATCCTTGCGGTCCTGAATGCAGGCCTGATGGCGGGCACCTGGAGTAGGGTGTGGGCACAGGTAGATGGGATTCACCTGGGCTGAGACTGGGCTTTTAAGGGCGGCGTCACGGGTGCCAGCAGAACGAATGAGAGAAGCAGAACAAACGGAAGAACCATGAGGGCAGCAGAGAACAAGGCCACCAGAAAATGCTGGAGAGCCCAGATAGAGTGAAGACTTGCTGGGGGCTGGGAGGCCTGCCAGCCTCCCGGCCCCCCAGCACCCCTGCCTGCTGTGTGCCTGGTAAATTCCAATAAAAGCCTGCAAAAGCCACCGAGGACTCTTCTTCACCCGTCTGCTCGAATCATAGAACCCGCTCCGTGTCCTCCTGCCCCCTACGCTCTTGTAAGTAATATGTGTACACATCTGTTTGCTTTTCTTGAGAGATATAAATGGCAGCAAAAGGCACCCATTGTTCTGCACCTTACATTAAAAACAAAAAAAACAGGGGCCTCTCTGGTGGCGCAAGGGGTTAAAACACAACCTATGAAGCTATTGGCAGCCACTGCAGCATGAATTTGATCCCCGGCCAGGGAGCTCCTCACATGGAGCAGCAGACCTCTCCTGACTCACCCGCTGCTCCCCTCAGCGGTGTATTTCAGTCAGTCTGCCTGTTCTGCTCCCCACTCTGTCTCTGGTGAATCCTCTTACCCCCTGCACCTCTGGCCTGTACCCCTGTTCTTGTATGTATAAATAAATTGTTAAAAAAAAAATTAAGAACTTATCTGTGGGAACTTTCCATGTTAGTAATTAAGTGTTGCCCATTGTAGGGTAAGGAAAAAGTATCAGGCTTTTCTGCCCTCCCCCGTTTAGGATAGATGAGGGAACCCTGTGGTCCT